GCAGCACAACTTCCCGTAACTTTCACAGGATAACCGTTTGCCATGTCATCACTTTCCCATCTCGCTAGGTTCGCTAATGAAAATAGGTTATCGGGCTTTAAGATAAATTGCGATAGTTACGTCACGAAGAACCAGTATCAAATGTTTAATTACATACAATTTATAAAATTAAAATCAATATAAGAAACAATATAGCAAGTGATGTGTGTGTGTGTGTAGGTGTAGAACTGATAAGAGCTGGTGGAGACTTCAATAACAAAAAACAGGCTCTTGTCATAAGGCATTAGTATTAAGCTTATTACATTTCTAAACATATGTACACTCTGGCCCTTCAGCTATTTTCCAGTTGTCTACTTTATCAACACTTTTCAATAACATTTGGAGTCTCACAAGACGTTGAACACTTGATACTAGTAAGTAGATGATCAAATAAGGTTATAACTCAACTTTAGCAGTCATTTCTAAGCATCACAGAGTAATTGATTGAATGGGGCAGCCATTTTTTCTCGGCCCATCCCTAAATCTAAGCACTACCATGCTTAGTGATAAGCCATTTGTTGTAACAAAATTGTTAGGTTGTGAACACCTTTTACAAGTTGGAAAAGCATAATTATGATCAATTATACTTGTCATAAGATATTGTATTAGGCCTATTAAATTTTTAACACTACATTCTTATCTAGTCCCTTGGGGATTTTCAACAATTAGAAGAGTGTATAATAATAGTATTCCAACCAGCTTTTAAAAGATGTTCACACCATAACAATAGTTGTTGTAATAAATGACTTATATAAGTAGTGTTCTGTCCACTATTGTATTTACTGTATCCCATCCAACAAAAGATATGATAGGTATAGTATGGTTTGAATATTATTATTATACACTCTTCTAATTCTTAAAAATCTCTAATGGACTGAATATAGAATGTAGTGTTTAAACATATAATAGGCCTAATGTTAATGTCTTATGACAAATATAATTACTTATAATCATGCTTCACCAGCTTGTAAAAAGCGTTTACAACATAAAAAAAGGCTCATATCAGTTCCTGTATTTCCCACCCTGTAAATTAAACCGAAAACAAAGAACATACTAACTGAAAAATAATCCCAATCTAAATTAGAATACTGTTACGTATCTGCTTGTTTGTTAATTTCCGGTAGAAATTCTTTCCGAGGAACTTTAGCGATACAAGTCCCTTCTTGATTAAACCAGTTTATTTTTTCTTAGTACACAGTAATCTCACAATCAGTACGTTTTTCGTCACTTTAAACTTAACAACTTTTATAATACACGCTATAAACTATAGTGACACACAATCTCGATAACTTCGCAAGAAACTTAACGTGACTACTGTTCGCTTTATCATACATTCATTTCTGCAGGCTTTCTCTGTCAGGCTTATATACTTACAAAGAGGCGTCTCTCGATCTCACTCGAGCTTCCCTGAAAATCGAGAAACTCAGTCACGCATGCCCCCGGTGTTACGTGACTTCTGCTGTCGTAACACTGCCCCTTCCTTAGTATTGTTCATTCCAAACAATAGCCACTTACATTAAACCAATAGAAAATTAACA